TCGAAACCACGGTGAAGTGTGTGCAATAGGTTGATGGCGAGTGCGTATGAGCACTCGACTTACAGGGTGTTTGAAAAATGGCTCGATGAAAAATCGAGAATTAGTTTGAAAATAGTTTGATCTACGCTAGTCCCTATGGGTGCTCCTAGAAGATAAACTAATAATCAAAGAAATACGAAACATACATCAGAATGGGAGAGGGATACATGTAATTTACACGGGATTGCACGAAATAAAGGGGTCTCATTGTCAGGTAGCCCAAGAGAAAGACGTGTGTGTGCAATGTGTCCTAAACTATGCCTTGAGCAAAGTCTGGCACAAACTCGATGTTAGGGTTCTTGCAAATGACCAATGATCTAACAGTCCACCAATTAGGCTTTTACCGTTTTGATAGTTATTACGTGTTTTCGGATATGGGTGAGTTAGAATGATGAATATGACATGACAATATGAATAATATACAATAATATCCATAATAATATTTGACTGAAAAAAATAAAACAGTTGACATTTGACGGAAATTAAAGTTAGTAGTTAGTTTTGTTAGGAATTAAATCGGGACAAATGTAATGCTAAACCGTCGTAGCTCGACTTATAATGAAAGTGGGTCTATAGGAGTTTGTGTGAGTTGATATCCATGCTATGAACAAGATAGAGAAATGGTATTGAGAATCATTCTCCAATTTAATCGTGTGCACGGACAAAAGAAGGTGGATCTCGTCTTAATGGCAAACATTATGTCAATTAATCGAAGGTAGCCTATCACGATCCCAAAGTAGAGAAAATGACTCAAATGGTCATTTTCCATAGATTTGAAATCGAGAAGGTTATCGACTTCGATACACGACGCGTACGAATAAAAGACTTCATAGATCGCGGAAAAAATTAATAAAAAACGAAAGTGGAGAAGAAATGAAATAGAAAATGAAATTAGTCTCGAATAAATGATCATCTATCAATAGTTTGACCGATAATAATTTGTAAATATTCGTCATTGACCAAAAAATGTTGAAAAGAAATAAAATGGATAAAAATCAAAAATGAAAAGTTAAAAAGAAGTTGGTCTCAGGTTTATCGTTTTTCATCAATAATTTGACAGAAAAACAATTTTGAGGTCTCGTCATCGACCAAAAACGGTGAAAATGAAATAAGAATTGAAATAAAGTCAGAAATAGAAGAGAGAAAGAAAAGTGGTCTCGGATCTATCGTTTCTCATTAATAATTTGACAGAAAAACAATAGAAGTCTCGTCATCGACCAAAAACAGATGAAAGTGGAATAAAATGCTCAATAATAAATGAGAAATAAAATCTAACTTTAAAAATATGCAAACTCTTAAAACTTAAATTAAAAGGAAAATATTTATAAAATTTTTTCATAAGTCTAAGAATTAAAATAAACACAAGTTTACAAAACTCTAAATAAAATAAATATGATATATATATATATATATATATATATATATATATATATATATATATATATATATATATATATATATATATATATATATATATATATATATATATATATATATATATATATATATATATATATATATATATATATATATATATATATATATATATATACCAAAAACTGTTGGAAAAATAATATATAAATTAATTTACAAATAGAATATATTAATAATGTTTAATAAAAACTAAAATATAAAAATATATTACAATTTTTTAAAAGAGACTGGGGGTAAAATATGAGAAGTCTTTGAAACTCCACAAGCAGCACCATCGTACGAAACCGTTGATATGAATTAAAACAAACTAAAACAACATTGTGTCATCACTTTCAACAGGTCTGCAGCATTTTGACCTTGCAATATGGAATATTCGAACTCACAGCTCATCGAAACAAGTCGAAATCGAGGCCATTAGTTTCCTGTTAAAATGAAGAACACGTTGTTTGTATAGTGAGAGGGTCTTGTTGTATTTCGACATTGCTGTTGGCGACTGAATCAGAGTAGCTATGAAGATTTTAACAACACGGTGGAGGGAAAAAAAAGGGAGGGATGGAGAGTTGAGTTTTCATTTGGGGTTTAAAGTTTAAGGTTTCGGATGGGTGGTTTGTGAGTGGGTTTCAGCGAGTTTTGCTGAAGGTATTTCTGGATTTGGATGAAAGTGTTGGTTTAATGGAGTTTTGCTGGGAGGTTGTGAAGTGGGTTTGGCGAGTTTGAAGTTGCTATTGGAAGGAGTGGAAGGTTGGTGAGAAGAAGATGGGAGCTCGCGGTTGTAAATGGATTTGGAGGCGGAATGGGTTTTACCGGGATTTAAAGGTGGGTCGACGAAAATCTGGGTTTTCATTGAAATGGGTTTTGATTGAAGGTGGATTTGCAGCAGGTTTATGAAGAATTAAGAGTTTAAGAGAGTGGCGGATGAGAAACGGAAGGGAAGAAGTATGGTTCGTTTGGAGGTTGAAGGAGGTTTATGGAAGAAGAAGATTTGGGATGGTGGTTGAAGGATAAAGAGGAGAGTTTCGCGTTTGGTGAATGGCAGCGGAAGAAAAACGAGGATGAAGGAGATGATGTCTGTGATGAGTTCAAGGAAAACAAAAAGGGAGAGATGAAGGGATCTGCAGTGGCGCCGTGTTTGGAAAGAGTGAGATGTGAACACTGTTGGGGGCTAGGGTTTCTGAGCTTGGAGATGATGAATAGTGCAAATGGCCTTATATACACGACACGTGCTGCCGTTTCCTCCAGTTGTTTTGTCCTTCACTGATTTAATTAAATAACTACTATTATTAATAATTCTAAACATAAACTAACTCCTAATTCTAACTGTTAGTTAGTAATTAATTCTATTTTAACTAATATCCTAATCTAATCCTATTTGATATTAAAATCCTAAGTTCTAACTAATTTAAAATTTAATAACAAAATCTATTTTAAACTAATCTTACTTAACTAATTCTAAACTAAATTTAATAACAATTTAATTCTATGTTAATTTTAATTAAAAAAAATCATTCTAACTAATCTAATCTTATTTCCTAAATTAAAAACCTAATTTAAAATCTAATCTAAAGAATTAATTCTAATATTCTAATTAAAAAACCTAATATAAATTCTAAATCTAAATTAATTAAAATTCTATTTCTAAAATCTAATTAACTAAAAAAACTACATTCTATTTCTAATTTCTAAATCATTTTTAAAACTCTAATTTCTAATTCTAATTAAAAACTATTTTCTAATAATTCTATTTTCTAAATAAAAACTCAAATTCTAACTCATTTCTAAATAAATAAATCTAATTTAAATTTTAAATAAAGTTCTAATCTAAATTCTAATAAAAATAAAATATTAATATTTTTGAAAAGAAAAATAGGGAAATTAAAATTTACAAAAACACCCTTAGGCCACGTGTCATGCTCTCATTGGACAAAAAATGATAAAATTGAAAAACGTCCAATTGTGGGTGGACACGTGTCTAAATGACTTGATACTATGCAGGCAATGCAAAATTAAAAATAGAATCGAAAATGCAAAAATATTTAAAAATGGGTAGGACAAATTTAGAGTATGACAGGATGCAAGAGAGATGTTGGTCTAGGAGCTTGGGGGTGATCCACTGGATGCGTTAGAGGAGGTGGATAAGACCAGAGGGGCTCATGTTAGGTTCTCCTTTCTCACTTGTAGATTTGATGAGGCGCTCGTTGTTGCACGCTAGGTAGATGGTGATCCAACCGAGGTTGAGATACACAAGCAGCGTATGCTGAGATGTTATTTTCTATATTTCGTCGGCACTCAGCTGTTTGTGGACACTTCCTCCGCATATACGAATGTCACTTACGTGAAATACTTTTTGGATTCCACACGGATCCATGACTACAACTGGGAGACGGCTACCTTGGCTTACACGTATTTGAGGCTGGGAGAGGGATGTCTGTGGAAGACCAGGACTATGGCAGGGAGCGTGGCACTACTTGTGGTAACAATCTTATATCCTTTGACTTTTTTTCATTTCTTTTCATTCTATATTTGAGATGATGCTTGATCCTGATGTTTTTTATCTTCATTTCAGTCTTGGATATTCCAGCACTTTCTCATGGTCACCGGGTGGGGGAGTGTGCCTGATTACATAGAGCAGATGTTGTGTGTCTGTGCCTTTCTCCCGCTCAGGGGGAACTAGGTGGTCGACCCTTACAAAGTCTATCTCAACCACCTGTCTGCTGAAGACATCTGGTACAACATCTATGCTAATCATCGTATGACGCACCCATTTGATGACATCTCCCTATTCTCAGGATGGTTGGCATTCAATTCGATCATCACTGTTCCATATTAGCCCGAGCGCATCATGCAGAAGTTCAATTACACTCAGACCATTCCCAGACACCCAGCTGTCTCCGCTCCTCTCGACTTGACCCGTATGTAGATAGAGGAGATCAATGCCGACCACCAAAGGCGCATGGTACCTGACGAGACTCGGACGACCAGAGCGCCAACAGCCTGGAGCTGCGTTGATGACTGCATCATGTGGTTCTTCACCGTCTCACACCCCTACATGATGCCCACTGCCAAGGGATTATCATCCAGACCAGCTCATCAGGAGATCTTAAAGGAGCAATAGTCAGTTGGACCACACTCAAAATGTCCTACCTTGCTGACGTCAGATAGTGGAGATGGGCGGGCAAGCATTGCCGCCGATTTCTTCCCTGAGGGGTCTAACCTCGTGCGTGTGTGTAATACTTAATTTGTTTTTTTAATTGCAGTAACTATACTTAATAAGAACTACATAACATAACAATATATACTTGATACATTTCAAATTGTTAAAGGATAATATTCAATTATAACTATTATCAAATAATTCATATAAAACTATTTAACCGCTTCTACTTTGTAGTAAAATGATATTACTTATACATAGTTTTTACAAATTGCAAAACTGCATGTTTCCATCTAGCTAGGCTAGGATGAGCCTCAGAAAAATGTCATCCATATATCTTCCCGATACCATAGGGTATTTTCCAGGACTCACTTTACTAAGATGAATGAAGTATCCTCTTATACTCTCCGAAGGAGCCATGGAATGGTGCTACTCTTCCCTCGGATACAATCCACAGCTCCTCCACGCTACCAGAGATGAGATGCTCATCGTGACTCACCTGTCAAAAAGCAGAGGTCAATTTTGACATAAACTTGTTAACAGCATTCTGATCAAGTAGTATTAAAAGAATGTGGTGTTAGCAGAACTGAGCATTCAGTACCATGAGAATGCCTCCTTGGAACAGCACAAGACCTTGAATCAGCGCCTCAACAGCATCCAAGTCCTACAAACATTAAGATCACAGTCAATTTTGGATTTATAGTTTAGCTACTTGATCAAGATATCATAGTACCCGGTACATACAAGATCAACTTTGATCATCACAAAAGACATATTCACTTTATCTAAGAGGATTTTCCATCGGCTGAGTTTCATATGGTCATACCATCATAATTAAAGCAACATAATACGAGTTCTTGGGTTAAATACGAATTCAGTTCCCTATAAAATGGATGAATTTTGGTTTCATTCCCTAAAGATACTTCTTATTTGCTTTTCATAATTGCAAGGCTTATGAATTACATCCTTTGACTTTTATCCTTTTAAATGAGCAAATTTTGATTTTAGTTTCTAAACTAATATTTATTTTCATCCATCCGAAATCACCGGTTATGGTCCCATCGTATTCATTTCTGGGAAGATAAATATAATTTATCAGAATAGTCACATGCTGACATGGCATCTAGATCATTGAGTGTCATCAAAGATGGCCAAGCGGCCTCCAAATGTCACATGCTAATAACAAGTCTCATAACAGCAAGAACCAAAACAATATATTATAGGGACAGAAACACCTAACATTATGTTCTTTCATATATGTTTAGTCTAAACTTATAAGGCTGTGCATTAAGCAGCTTTGCCTTGTATTTGGGCAAGGAGAACACACACCCCGCCACGTGTGTCCCGTCCTTGATAAAATTCTCATAAAATGTGTAATATAGATATAAATTAAAAATATATTTTAATCATTTCAAATATATATTATTTTTTTATGTTTTAAATACTCCAAAAAATAACTGAACGAACAACTTAAATTACTGATTTTTCAATTTTCTTTCCAACTTTATTGGACTTTAGTTTATCATTTTCCAACCCAATTTGTTTACAAAAGGCTTTGTTTAGAGACAAATAGTATGAATAGCTTATGAGAAGTTCCAAACCCCTTAAAAGGAACTTTAACTATTTTTCAACACGGAAGTTGTTCAGATATCATTTTCAGATGAGAAGAGATAAGAATAAACATGATGAGATAAACACAAAAATAACAGACTATAGATTCAGCATACTATGCCTGCAACAAAACATGATAGTAAACAACCAATAAGTAGTAATAAACAATGTTGGAGAGACCTACCAGATGATTGGATGGCTCATCAAGCAATATTATGTGTGGCTTCTTAAAAGTTATCTTTGCAAAGGCAACTCTACTTTTCTGACCACCTAGTAAAGCATTTAGAAAAGTCAAGATATAATGCATAACAAAAAGGTATACGCACATACTCAACATTGAAAAACTACATCTGGCAGTATAAATGGGTTGAAGTTCAAAAGATATACCTGACAAAGTATACATGGGTTGAAGTGCAAGATTTCCGGTTACACCAAAAGAACCCAAGTGACCACGAAGTTTCTGCTCTGGAACTCCCTGCAGAAAATTCCAATAAGCAAAGTCAATAACTTAATTGCATATACAGGTACTGAAGTTCTAAAGAAACACCTGTTACAGCCTAACATCCAGATTTCTAACCTTATTCCTCCCATAAAAATAAAAATATAAAATAAGTAAATTTTAACTTTGTATCCAAAAATCTTAACATATGCAAAAAATAAAATAAAAACTTGTGAATCTTAACTAGTATTCAGTTCATCATGCATTCTTTACAACTTTACAAGGTTTTTAATGAATCTCAGTCTGCATAAGAACATGCAAATGTAATACATAGGTTGTGCCAGTCAGTCATAACTGCCTTAGCAGTCAATTGCAGGCACCATTTGTTCACAACATGACCGCAAGTCAGCAAACACAATTTGAAACCATATTTTTTTCTATAAAGGTAAACTATGATTATAATGAAGGAAATTCCGATTATAGTCAACCAAAAATATTTCAATTGAAGATAACTCCCCAAAAAGACAGTTAATTATCTCTAAGCACGAGGAACTCACAGGATAGCAGCGCATCATATAGAGAAGAGGATTTGAGGATAAGTCAAGTCCGTCAACATGGTGCTGACTGAAAACTGCTATACGAACCTGTAAACAGTGACAATGTGTAAATAATTATCCAAAATAATGCCAAAACATGAAAAAGATGTCATAAAGACCGAATAAATCTCCATTCTGATCATTTCTAGCTCCTGAATGTTATTGTAGTAAAATAAAGCACTACCATTTTCAAATCACACAAATAGTTTTAGAAATATATCTGATTAGTAAAATACAAGGATAAGACCTGGACTTTACCTGTGCTGACCTTGCCATGGATTAGAAGAAGAAAAAAACACATTCAAAAAATTAATTGCAAAGTCATGTAAGAAGCAGAAAATAAAGTCCTTCCTCCGTCTCATAAAAAGTGTCCTATTTGACCAATGTGCGGTTCTTCAAAAAATGATTAGATGTGTTGATTTTAATGATAAAATTAATACCATTTACTAGAATACCCTTATTAACTATAGTTAATAGAGTAGTTGAATAAAGTGAAAGTTAATAAATAGGGGTATAGTAGTGGAAAAATAATAATAAATGCTGCATTGGAATTGTAAAGGGACAATTATTTTGAGACAGAAAAAAGTGAAAATGAGACACTTTTTATGAGACGGAGGGAGTACAAAACATTAAAAAGTATGTGATGGAGGTAAAGCGAAAAAGAAGTGGCTTGTAATAATAAAGTTGTAGGACAATTTTACTGCTGTAATATAGATTACCTTGGCAGAACGGAAGACAGTCCCAGAACTTGGCTGTAGTTCCCCAGCAATTAACTTAAGTATAGTAGATTTACCAATACCATTCGGTCCAACCACTGCAAACATTGAGGATATGATATAAGCACATCAATATTGCCGGATCATGTCATAAATTTAACAACATTCCGCCACATGCATCAGTGTATTGAATACTAGTTTGCCAAAAGATGCAACCTAGGAACGACATGCCCATCACATGTTGAGAAACAAGGCTGTGACGTCATAAAAATGAATACTAGAAAATGCTAATACAATTTGAACCGAAAGACAAAAAAGAAAAGACATTCATAGGACTAGGATATGCATTCTTACTTGCAATACGGCTGTCAAGATCAATCCCAAAGTTCAAATTCCTAAATAGAATGGGTCCTCCAGGATAACCAAATGATGCATCACTGCACACACACCAAACAATTCCAAAAGGGATAAGGCCTAAGCTGTGTGTATGGTATTTATAAATCTACATCTACATTGTTCACAAAGCAAGTAAAATAAGAACGAAATGTTCTACCTGAAACTTATTATAGGTGCGCCTGGTCTATCATCAGGAGTTGGGAACTCAAACTTGTAGCTACACTCCACCATTAAAACATAGTTAAACACTTAAACATAGATAAAAGCATTCTCAACTTTTGATGCAATAGTGATAAAAGAATAAATAGTAATTCATACTCAGGATCATTAATAATTGCATCTACATGGCCCAATCGATCCAGAGCCTGAAATATTTTTCAAGGAAATAAAAGGTTATAGACATGAAATATATCTACTTAAATGATTATAACATAATATGAAAAACAACCAAACCAGTGAGCATATAGACAATACAAAAAAAAAGCATATACCATGGACACAAATTTGGGCATTTTAGTTTATAAGGTAAAGTGGCAATAACAAGTACCTTGATTCTAGATTGAACAAGTGATGCCCTCTTAGCATTATAACGAAACTTGTCAATGAAGGTCTGGTAGAAAAGCAAAACATCACATGTCAGAGGTAAAATAGAATCTTGAATAAAATGATACACATGCACCACATGTTCTATGAATTGCAAAACCTAGAAATTTTCTGATGGTAGGATAGTCAAGAAAATGTTAAAATATCTTAATATAGTAGCATATCGTATGTGACAGGGCCTGTTTGGTTACACCTTTTTCTTCTAAAAAAAGCATTTTTTTAATGAAAAATATCTAAAAAATTATGGAAACTTGATCAATTATTGAAAATAGCAAATAAAAATCGAATTTATACTTGAGAGACTACAAAATCTAAATCATAATAGTGCTCTTTTTCAAAGCTAGTTCAAGTGCACCATCAAACAGTTAGGAGCTAGCAATCTAAGAGATTTAGGAGTATATATCTACAATTAGGATTGAATTATTGAAACTAATACTTTTTCAAAGCTTATCCAAGCTCACAGCCAATTAGGAGCAATCTTTCAGAAAAAAACTTGGGAGTTTGTATAAGTGTAATTAGGAATTTAGGATCCAATCATTGTAATTAATACTAATACTAATATAAATAGAGATCATGTTTGAATAGTCTGGAGATAGGGTTGTTCAAAAAAACCATGAACTGAACTGCCGAACCGAACCAAACTGAAGTTAAAATAACCGAACCGATATATTTGGTTAGTGAACCAAACCATATTACATAAAAAGGTTCTAGAACTGAACCAAAACTATAACCGAACCAAACCAAAACTGAAACCGAACTAAACCAAAATTGAAAATGAAAAATACAAAAAATCAGTTTTAAATTTTTATTTTTAAATATGAAAAATAGATTAATGGTTCGGTTCGGAAAAAATTGTCTTCTAACGGTTCGGAATTTCTAAATGGTATACCAAACCAATTATTTTGGTTTGGTTCGGTTCTGAGTAAATTGAAACAGTTCGGTTCAGTTCGAAAAAACTTTTACTATGGTTCAGTTCGGTTCGGTTTTCTCACTGAACTGAAACGTGAACAGCCCTATCTGAAGATATAATTCATCCCTAATAAGATTTTCCGTAGCATTAAGTTGGCCAATAAAATGCATCAAGGTTAAATCCTAAGCCCTTATATTTTTACTTTAGCTTTAGATGTACTTATGGAACACATACAAAAGCTAACATTGAGATGTATATTTTTTTTTACAGATTATATAGTTCTACTAGGAGAGTTGAGGGAGGTATAAAATGGGAGGTTTACAGATTTTATAGTTCTACTTGGAGAGTCGATGGAGGTATTAAATGGGAGGTTGGAGACTTGCAGATGAGCTTTATAAGCGTATGGCTTTTGCTTGAGTAGAAGCAATACAAAATATATGGAATGTAACTTTAGCAAAAAACAAAGCATTTCTACCTTTTAGAGGAACCAAGCCTTATCCTACCAAGTGAGGTCGGTTGGTTTAAATATCTTGGATTCATAGTACAAAACAGTAGAGAAATAAAAAGAGATGTAAACCATCGAATTCAAGTTTGATGATTAAAATGTAGGATGGCCGCAAGTGTTGTAAGTGACACGAAAGTAATGCTCAGGCTGAAGGGGAATTTTATCAGACGGTTGTAAGACAGGCAATGTTGTACATAATAGAGTGTTGGACATAGTGTTGGATTGTGTGACACTCAATGGGGTGATGTCATTAAAAAAATTTGATACATTAAATGTCATGGAAAATAAAGAAACAAACCATAGGTGCCAAACTGAGGTAGAAGTTGAACATTGAGTGATAGTAACCGTGTGAACTCATCTAGTTATAGCAGTAACTCAGAATTTATAGTTTGTGAATCACAACCAATGAAACTCATGAGACGATCAAGTTGCATTACATATATCTTCAAAGCTTGTATTTCATAAAAGAATTAAATAATTAAGCATGTGGAAATTTACTGCTACTTTGGTTGAGAATGAGATAAAATTCAGTCTGGGATCACAAGAAGCATTTGTGAACTCTAAAGATTTGTGAACTCTAATGACCACTTTGTAAACATTTTTTCACTAAGACCCTTAGATGTCCCTGAGTCAACTAAATATGTGAAAACATTTGTACATGTGACCTATACAGACTAAACTTGGAGGGAAGTGTTAGAATATCCTAGATATTTGAGGTAACATATCATGTGCATATGATGAAATCAATTAGAAGCTGTCTTCAGAATAAATTTAGGATTGTATGCATGACTAGGATTGCATCTTTGTCATCACTCATTAATATTAAATACGCATAAAGACCTTGAGTGGAATGTCTAACACATATTCGGCCTTAACCAGATCATTCATAGTATTCTTGACTCATGTCTTACATCAAAGTCTTGTTTTTCCAATACTGCAATGGTGCATATTCAAGTATTTAGTACAATATAATATACGGTTACTCAATCTTTTGCTTAAAATAAAAGATATGGGTATACCTGTATAATGTATAATAGTATATATTAAACAAATATGTATGTTTAATTTGTAAATAAATAAATAAATAAAATTATCTTTTATCTTTATGTGATATCTTATCCCATTTCCAAGTGTCAACCCTTTCCTAACTCCTTGTGTAATAATTTTGAGATTGGCAAGTACTTTGAGGGTAGCAGATAATCAAAAAAAAAAAAGAAGAAGAAAGATATACCATAGTTGGCATGTGATATGACCATATGTATAGTATCATATCAAATACAATTGCCAATTGCATACTTCACCAGTTTAGGAGTCTGTCATAGTGTTTTTCTATTAAATATTATAACCAGTTTAGGGGTTTGCATCAGTGTTTTTCTATTGAAAATACATTTTGGAAGCCAGGTTCCACACATCATGCCGTCTGTGTAGTAATCTATAGCTTTCTATGTTAGTATACTACCAGAGCACAAGCTGGCATAGTTAGTAAATAAAACAACGTAGACAAATTTACCTCACTTAGAGAGATAATTTCGCAGTTCTTGTTGCCTAGATTCACAAATTAATGTGTAATATTCTAAATATCAAGCCAGTAAACTAACATTACTGACCTAGAACTCCTATTAGCACAATAACTTAAAGAAAAATAACTCAAATACAATGGGCTACGCACAATAATTATGATAAAATAAAGAGTGTAAGCTCCCACCAAAATGGAAGTGAACATACTTGTGTTCTTACTATCGTACAATGGGAAAACAAACCTCAGAATTAGGTAGGAAGAAACATAAAAATGTCCTTATGAAAAGGATAACTTTACAGTAAAAAATAATACCTGCATATGAGCTCTTGAGCGCTCATGTGCCTCTACTGCTTTTTGTTGGTTTTTAATCTGCTCTTCTCGAGTCCTCTCAAATGTATCATAATTCCCTTTATAAGTGGTTAGCTTTTGGTTTTGTAAGTGAATTATATCAGTAACTACCTGGAGATACAGTTGAGAAGAATAACTAAAAACTATGTTGGAATTTAGACAATGCATTAAATCAACGAAACATCTAAACAAAGCAAGAACAACTGGTATATTACCGTGTTTAAAAATTCTCTAGCATGAGAAACAACAATAAATGTTTTTGGCCATTTAACCAAGTACGATTCAAGCCATAAGACAGCGTGAAGATCAAGATGGTTCTGCAACAAAAAGAAAAATAGAATAATGTTCCAAAAATTCTATAAATTAAGGGATAAATGAATCTAACGTTGTCAATTGCAGATCGTGGAAATAGGGGTTTGTTCAAATTCAAAGTGCTACAGCCACTATTTAACAACTCTTTGTACTAAATTGTGTATTTAACAACTGTAGTTTGTTAAGTATTCACGACGCTAGAGCACCGCAATAGACATTATATGACAACACTGAATGAAAATATAAAAGAAAGTTATAAATTATAATGATGAGTTACCGTAGGCTCATCAAGAAGCAGCATATCAGGCTCTATAAACAGCGCACGAGCAAGAGCTATACGCATCCTCCACCCTCCAGAAAATGTTTTTGTTGCCTTCTTCTGCATCTCAGGAGAGAAACTCAGACCCTGAAAATACCATTGATCAGTAAGATGATGATTTGGAAAACTGTTTATCCAATAAATAATATGAATTCAACTAGCTCAAGTGACTAATATAAAATAAGGCCTGCGAACAAACAGCTTTGATAAACTATAAACTATGATACAACAAATTACTATAAACCCACCGCAAGTATAGATGCTGCTCGTGACTCGGCAGCATCAGCATCAATTAACTCAAGCCGCTTGTATATTTGCTCAAGTCTTTGTGAAATAGCATCTCCTTTCACACCTCCATTTGCATCATTGCCCTTTTCGGTACTGTCCTCCGATTCTCTCTATCAGAAAATCACAACAACATCGTTAGTTGTGAACTTACAATTTGTTATACTTACATATGGATGTATTTCATGCATAATCTAAAACATTGATCTACTATCACTACCCTACAGTTCATCCATACTAGTTCCTCACACCACACTTAAAAGAACAACATATGAAACCTGTTTGGCTATTAATTGAGCTTCTTCCTCCAGAAGCTGGGCTCTTTCAATATCAGTATTAAGAACACATTGTAAGGCGGATGTATTATCACCAACAACTTCTTGCTCAACGTGCAATATCTGACAATTCCTGGGAATGCCATCTATGGCATGCATGGCCATATGCCTTAGGAAAGTTGTTTTTCCCGTCCCATTTCTGCCAACAAGCCCTGTGTTGAGATTAATTCAAACTGAATTAGTTTTGTTAATTAGACTAAGACTTGTTAATATAGTTAATGAGGGTTAGTAAGAAACTAACTAATCAAGCATTACAAAGTATGCTTAGTCTAAGCAGAGTAAATATCAATAAAAAAAAATATATCTGATTCACCAAGTGTATGAATTTTATCCCCAACACTCTGCTTCAACATCACAAAGAACAGACAAAAAAAGCAAACAATTCATTTTATTTGATTTGATTCAAGTCCAAGTCCACACTGCATAGAAAAGAGAGAAGAAGACAGTAAACTTCACCGTAGTGTCTTCCAAATGAGAGTGTAACAGAACCATCAACGATGAGATCATGGCCACCAACAGAGATAGTGAAATTATCCATATGAATATCCTTCACAGTGTGTCCACCACCGCTCTCGTGCTTCACACACGCAACAGGCATCCCTGCTCTCACCGCTTCCATCTCCGCCAAATGCAATTGGAACTTTGCCTGTTCATAATCACTTGCAAATGAATACTACAAAGAAGAAAAACTGTGAAAAAAATTTAACTGAATTGAGATTCGGAACCTCTCTCTGGCGTTCGTCTTTCCTCTTTCTCCTTTCGATCTTTAATTTATCACGTTCAGATAAGAGAGGACCGTCAACAGGCTCCGGCTTCCTCTTCGGAGCTTCACCGTCGTCTAATCCCTCGTTCATACGAAAAGGCGCGGCAAGGCTTCGTACTGTTGGCTTCGCCTTCACCAACCCGTGCTTCCCAAATCTGTCAGAAAGTGTGCTGCATACCTAAATGAAATGAATCATGGTGAAATCAGTTAGTTGCTGGAGTTGTAGTGTGAATGATTAAAGCATAGATAGATAGAAATAGAGGTGAAGATTCACGAACGGAGCGACACTCGGAGAAGTCGGGGACACATCCGGCCGCAACGAGGAGATCTCCGAGAGCATCGAAGGCGCCTTCGCCGTCGAGTCCAAAATCGAAATCCTCGTCGGCGAGGACGTTAACGATGTAACTGACAATTGGTTCATCGACGTCGATGATTCCATCTCCTAAAACCTCATGAACCACTGTTCTCGCCACCTCCGTCATGTTCCGCGTTCGTACTTTCAACTCGCGACGGCTTCACCTCTGCACTGCAACCTACTGTTTTTCCTTTTCAGTTTTAGGAGTAAGATATTTCAGCCTAATTACGAATCTAAATCCACTGCAGTCGAAATTACGCCGCATTCACGCTGTCAAGGCATTATCAACCATTTGATCTTGATCGTACAGTTAAAAGAAAACAGATTTAATTTTACCAAAATTATCAGCTTTAAATCAAAATCATTCGATCTTGATCGGACAGTCAGCTACGCTTGAATGTGTGAAAGCGTTGTTTTTTCTCTGCAGGGAATCTGAGCCATGCAAATTACACAAAATGGCCATCTCTTTGATGAAAAATAAATAAATCAAAATTGCATTTGAAGTAGTAATTTAATTTTATTCTCTCTATTTTGAGAGGTTGGGAGTCATTCCATTTATTTCTCCCTTTATTTTCTTTATTACTATAGTTTTGTTTGTAAATAACACACATTTTTAAGACATCTGACATATAATTAATATTTAGTTAATTTTATATACAACAAAATTATACTAATAGAGAAAATAGAGGGACAAAGAAATGGAGTGGATCCCAGTCCATTTTAAGAGTGATGATATTTTAGACTCACTTACCCACAAATATTTTGTACATTTCTATGTCCGAAAGTTGAAAATTAAGTTTGTTAGTAATAATTCAACGTTTTTTTTATAAAGTATAATTTGACTTGTTTGGTTAATTAATCAAAAATATTGTAAATTAATATTTTATTTAAAATAATTAATTAATTAAAAAGTAAAAGTTAAACATTTTATAAATAAGAGGACTTATATATTTATCACTTTAATATGTAGTGTCTCTCTTATTTGTTTGGGTGAGTTTTTGACATTTAGGTGAGTGTTTGACCCGATGTGTATGTTTCTCCTTCATAATGGCTCATGAATGGTATCAGAGTCATAGTTCGAGTAAGAGACCCACTCCTTGTTACGAAAATCTTCTTGGCATGGTGATCAAGCGACGTGTTCCGTTGAAATTCTCATTACGAAATAAGGGTGTCTCTCAACGGTTGTACAAACATATGGGTGAAAAATCTCTCACTTGAGGGGTAACATAGTGGATGGACTCATACTTAAGAGGAAGATTGTTAGAAAATAAGTGTGAGTTATTTGGAGAAACAAGTGTGAGTTGTGAGTCTCACATTACTTAGAAAAGTGGAGGTTAAGCATTTTATAAGTAAAAATGACTTATATACTTATCATCTTAAAATTTTGAGTATTTATGTGGTATCTCTCGCTTGTTTGGGTGAGCCTTTAACATTTAGATGAGTCTTTGACCTAACGTGTATGATTTTCCCTCATGATGACCCATCAACTCCTACCAATATTTCAACAATACAAAGCTTGTGATATTTATTTGTAGTATATATTTAGCAAAAAGGAGACATATATGATGGTAGGAATACTATTTTGATAATAATAAAACTTGCAGGCTTTGACATGCCAATTTTACTACTACTGCACGTTTTCATAGTACCTTTCAATAAATTAGCTTACAACAAGATATTAAACATTATGTTGTATCCATTGCATATAGTAATTAAACTAACGATACAATTGATAGACAATTGAACTCTTTTATGTTTACTCCTACATGCTTTAGCCTTAAATATGAGTTGGTTTAGCGAATTGATTTATGCTTTGAACTAAGCATATGGACTGAAATGTTATTAAAAATAAAGTTTACAAGATTGTTTGGTCCTCTTAATTTATTAAATTTTCACAACATCAACCAACATGAATTCAAAAGTTATTACTAAGAGACTAACGGTTTAAATTGTATTATACAAATATATCTAACAAAATTATTTCTAAGTGCATTTTCTTAGTTAAATTCAAATTGTACTATATTGTATTGATCTTTCCAAATGCATTTTCTTTCATTTGAGCATTATATATATATATATATATATATATATATATATATATATATATATATATATATATATATATATATATATATATATATATATATATATATATATATATATATATATATATATATATATATATATATATATATATATATATATATATATATATATATATATATATATATATATATATATATATATATATATATATATATATATATATATATATATATATAAAAGTTTGTTAGTAACAATTCGACTTTTTTTTATAAAGTATAATTTGATTTGTTTGGTTATTCAATCAACTTAAATATTGTAAATTAATATTTTATTTAAAATAATTAATTAATTATTGATCAAAGATCTAAAAATGACATTTTTACAACAACAAAAAAAATTGATTATTTGATTCGAAGATATGAGTTTAACCTTACATTTAAATCGAGTTGTTCGTGAATTTGAAATAAATTGAGTTCTATCTAAAATAAGAGTTGTAGCAAATATGAACTAAGTTTTGAGATTAACCCATTTTTATCAAATCGAGTAGCGTTGAAGTAAGTTCCAGTCGACTCATTTCTAGCCTTAATCTCTCATGACATTTTTCTATTTATTTTGGATCTATATACTTGGAGGCATAGTAAGAAAGTGATTCAAAATGGTAAAACTTAATGATAGCAAAGATGCAAATCAACTAGTAATTGCTTAGTTTTGATGATGACAACACTTAAAGTCAAGTAATTGTTAAAGTTAGCTCAAGTGATTAAAGATATACAAGATGGTTGATTAAGATATCCTCCTGAATCAAGATAAAGACATATGTTTGAAGCCAACACTACATTTCAATGACTTTTAAGTAAAGACTCGGATTTATAGAATCACTAGTAGTTTAGATTTTCAAACTCTCAAATGATGGTAATAAACATGAAGATATATCAAGCCTCGTCAAGAAGACTCAAGGTTCTTGTGTGATGCAAAAACAAAAATATTAATGCCAAAACTTAAAATTCAGAAGTAGTTCCATTTGCGATGTGATAATAATGTGTGAAAGTTGCGACGTGATTCCCATGTGGGAAAGTTATTTATGGCTGTGGGTTGCGACGTGATCCCCATGTGGGAAAGTTGTCACATTTAATTCCTTCTACCAATGCGTCTGAAAAGTAAATGGAAAAGCAAAACATTTAATATTTGAAGTTTTGTGAAGTGAATTGTATGTGGGTAACTTGTGACCTGTTATTCACATGGGAATAAAATGACATTTTTGAATTTTCAGTTCCCATGTGTTATACACGCCACAAATGAATTTTTTAAAAATTCAAACTTTCCTCTCTCTTAAAATTCCAATTTTTGATGGCAGATTTTAGGTCTGAATAATTTAATATTTAAATAAGTTAGTGACATGGGAATCACTTGGCAATGTGTTTTCCCATGTGATTACCACGTCACTAAATCACTAGGGAAAATGAAGTTTTTCTTGTAGTGAGTATGAAAAAGAAAGAGTATGAAAGTTTGTCTGATCGTACTCGTCTGAGTGATCAATGTCTTATAAAGACACAAAGAGAATTTTTTAAAATATTATGGCTAAATAGCACACACATTACAAACATTGAGAAATTCCTCTTTTCAAAATTAAACCACGAAAAATTAGTTGTAAGGCCTACCCAATTGATTAAAGGATTGTCTGTTTGATTAAGAGATTTTTTTTTCTAAACTCTCTAATTGATTAGATCATTAATCTAATCAATTATATTATACCTAATCGAGTCTATAATCGATTATGATAGTCTCTTAATAACTGGTAATGTCTCTATATCAAAACCTCCTATTTTGGATCTGACAAATAGATTATTTGAAATGTCTACTCGATTAGAGCATTCAATTGACTCATGGATTATTTTCAAATTTATACCATACCTTGCCCTTAAATATAGAGTTTCTCTATATTTTTTCACATCCAAAAAACGTGAAAAACTTCACTTTTTATTTCTATCATCACCTTTTTATGTCTTTTGTATTTTTTTTCCACATATTTTAGTTGTAGTGCTTTGATAAAACTCATGAGTTTAGTGAGAAATCTTATTTTGGGTGAGACGAAAATTGTAAATAAATTAAGAGTAAATTTTTTTTTTTGAGTAAATAAGTTTTTTTTTATAATTAAATTATTTAAAATATTTTTGTTTGTACTTTGGATTAATTAATTATATTTTTTGTTTGATTTGTGAGCTCCGACATTTTTAAATGTGATATTTTATTTTAAAGTGTGGCATATTTAGGGAGTAAATGTTAAAAAGTGTGACATATGGATAAAAACTCGCATTGGCTATTAGATGAGATGAGTATATCTTAAAACATACTGTCAAATGAAATGAAAGAAACTTAAATTCACTCTCATTTGCTTTGCTCAATCAAAATTGCCTCTATTTATAGAACACAAACTTGAAACACTTCACAAGTCACAACACATCATGCAAAAGAAATGATCTACCAAATACCAGCATTAAATTAGTGCATCAACAGTGAAAGTGTTATACACTCATAATTAGCAAAATTCAATTTCTCTCTTCTGCTAAGAAACATGAGTACTGCAGAAATTGCTCGAACAGTTGTTGGCCTCATAGGTGGGTTATATGAATTTGTTTTGTGAGTTTTCATTAAAAACATGTATTTATTTATTAATCAATTAATTAATTAATTTGTGTTTTCATCATTTAGGTTATGAATAATCTCCACACCTTATTGATTTATTCATTTATCACTTTTGACAATTTTCTTCTTCTTCTTGACTTCAGGAAATATCATTGCCGGATGCATGTTCTTATCTCCAATGTAAGTTTATTTCTCAGGTTTAGTAATGTAATCAAAAATGTAATATATGCGTCGGTTAAGTGATGATTGACGCTAAATTTGCGAGAAAAAATCATAATTTCATCATTCACAATTGTAATCAAAAGAGAATTGAAATAGTTTGATGCTAAAACTAACTTTTAAACTAGATTAATCGGTTCAATAAATCAGATATTAGTAGTAAAAGAAAAACTATAATATATGCTAGAGAAAAACAACTCTGAAAAATTTCACTTTATTTTCTTTTATAAAACTCTTTTTAAAAATTTATTAAACTAATTGTTGTTTTTTTATTTATATATTTTTCTGCAAATAACCGTAAATACTATAATAAAAATATTAACTATTCTTTTTAAAGATAATTTTGTTTTGAAAAAATAATATTAATTAGTATAAAATTTAATGTTCTTGGAGGATTTTCTTATGTTAATGACTTTGTGTAATGACTCTCCATGCCATCTAGCTATCAGCCTCCCTTGGACTTATATTGAGCTATTTTTAACCATTACGTTATGTTTAGCTGTTTTTAAATTGGCAAATCTCTAAGTATATAATTTTATTTGTGTAGGATATAAAACAAATGTGCATTCATAATGATTTATTTATTTATTTTCATCTTATCCATTTTATTGGGGGATAATCTTTTTGGTTATCATTAAAGCTGTTGGGGCCTTATTTTAAACCAAAAAAGGGTAAATTTCTAAATTGGCGTTAGGACAAAACGTAGAGGTCTGATATTTGATCTTGAAGAATTTTAATAAATGCTAAAATCCTCTTAAACACCTTCTTAGCCTTCATATAAAAATTTCAATGACTAACTTCAACATTTTATTTTTTATGAACCAAATTAATAGGCATTCATATTTTTTGTCAAACATAATTTTGACTAGGAAATATTAAATATATTTTCATAATGCAAGAAAAATTTTACAGGCCAACATTTGTTGGGATATGCAAAAAAGGATCAGTGGAAAAGTACTCAGCAGTACCATACCTAGCCACGTTAATGAACTGCATGGTCTGGACTCTCTACGGGCTACCAATGGTGCATCCTCACAGCTTACTTGTGGTAACCATCAACGGTGCAGGATGTGTGATTGAGATCATTTATATCACACTCTTCTTCATCTATTCTGACAGCAAAAAGAGACTCAAAGTCTTTTTTGGTTTACTCTTGGAGCTTATTTTCATTTCACTTCTCTCATTTGTTTCATTGACCATGATTCATTCTGTTAACAAACGTTCGGCTGTTGTTGGAACTATTTGCATGCTCTTCAATGTTGCTATGTATGCTTCACCTTTATCCATCATGGTTAGTATATAATATTTCACGTCTAATAATTGGCTTAATTACGTGATCTTAATTAATTAATATGTATGGTTGCATGCACGCAGAAAATGGTGATAAAGACTAAGAGTGTTGAGTTCATGCCGTTTTTTCTCTCTTTGGCTTCATTTAGCAATGGAGTGTCTTGGACCATTTATGCTCTCATCCCTTTTGATCCATTCATTGCTGTAAGAACACTAATTATAATTAACATGCTATATATATATATATATTATGGCATTACTAGCTTTATACTTATTATGGTAAATGGATGATTTCTCTGCTAGATACCAAATGGGATTGGAACATTGTTTGCGGTTGTACAATTAATTTTGTATGCAACATATTACAAGTCAACGAAAGAACAGATAGCAGCAAGGGAGAATGGAAAAGGAGAGATGAATGTGTCAGAATTGGTAATTGGTATTAGTAACGTTAATGTTATTGTGCAAGATGAAACCAACATCAACAAGATAAAAACTCCTTCCACTATCAAATGACTATTGACATCACTCATGTATCCTCTTCCTCTGCCTAACCCATTGGGTAGTCTTTGATTTATAATCTTATTTTTTTGGATTAATTCTCATATTAATAACTTTACTTTTCAATTCTTAAGTAGTATTTGTCGAGCAATCTCTATGAACATATTTGAGATAAAACAACAAAATGATCTCAAGTTTTAACTTCTTTAATGAGAATTGTCCAAACAATTTTTTTTATACAATCTCTCTAAGCATAAATGTCTAATTAATTAAATGAACCTCAAATAAGAGTGAAAGAAATAAGGATGAAATATAAATGAAGTTTGGTGATTAACTAAAGCTAGTGTGATCAACTTAGTTAAAATGTCTAGTATCTACGCAACCTCCCTAATTCGCATTACTAAAGGCATGAATTTGCAAGTTAGAAGATTGTGACAGAAAAATACCTCGAGTTGGTGATCTTTTGAGGTATATCAGAACACAAAGTGCTTCACATTAGTGAGTATCTGCAGGTGCACTCATGAATTGCCTCAATTGTTGTGTTGTAAATGCAGTACCTATCATAGTAGTGGTGATATAAAGAAGGCTTCCAACCAACCTCCTATATGCAGTAACATCAGTGAATACAAATGTGGAATCTTGATGCAATCTAGTAGATGATTTCAAAGGTGTGGAAAGTGGTTTTGAACTAGTGAGGCTAGATTCATTAAGAAAATCCAAACAATATTTCATTTGCATAAATTAATACTTGGAAGATCGTTTTTCCTCAAGTCCTTGAAATTTTTTTAATTGACCAAGATGATCGATGTGAAAAGTTGTGTCCAATGCAAATTTTAGATCAGAAAACACGGTAAGAAGAGTACCAGCTAGGATAATATCACCCACATAGACAAGAAAAGTTGTAAATTGTAAGACCGGACTTAGTAAAAAGTGTGTGATCAGCGTAAGCTTGAACAAAACCTTGTGCATGAAGGAATGTGGTCAAATTTTCAAACCAATGGCGTCTTGCTTGCTTCAAAATACACAATAACTTAGTAACTCTACATACTTGACCTGGTTCGGAAGGAGTCATACCTTGAGGTACTTTCATATATACAACTTCATGTAAATCACTATGGGGAAATGCATTTCTTACATCCAATTGATGTAAATGCAAACCATGGATAGATGCTAAAGCAAGCAAGACTCTGATCGTAGATAGCTTAGCCATAGGTGAAAATTTCTCAAAATAATCCAAACCTTTAGTTTGTGTGAAACCTTCTGCCACAAGTCTTTCTTTGAATCTGTTAAATTTGCTACAAATTTCTAGAGAGTTTTTAAATATAATATGTAAGAAAATATAGAACATCCTAGAAACTATAAGGTGTATGAATATGGTAGAATAATCTAGATATATAAGTATATGGCAAAGATAGAAAAATCTAGATTTATCATGATAATAACCTATCATGAGAACTCTAGAATATTGACCACCATTGAAAGGTTGGTGACTTGAGCCTATAAATAGGCATTTGCTACATTGTAAACCATCATCCAAGAAATTAATCACAAAACCTTCTTTCTAAACTACTCTCTAAAACTATCTTCTACCAACTATCATCTAAACAATTTTAAACAGTGGCATCAGAGCTACGTTCGGTCATACATTGGGCGTAGTTATACTAATACCTACCATTTCATAATCCTGCAAACTACTTCAAAATATTTCCCTTATACTATTAACCCACTACAATATTTTTTCTAAGCCATGGATAACACTACTCAATCATCAACCATTTGTGTCTCTATTTTCAATGGTGAAAATTATGATTTCTGGCGTGTTAAAATGGAGACATATTTTTCATCTCAAGATTTATGGGACATAGTAGAAGAAGGCTTCATCGCTCCCATAGATACTTCAGCTCTAAATGCAGCTCAAGAAAAAGAGTTGAAGAAAAATAAATAGAAAAATTCAAAGACATTGTTCACCTTGCAACAAGCGGTGACTGATGCAGTTTTTCCAAGAATTATGGGAGCTAAGACTGCAAAAGAAGCGTGGAAGACGTTGCAGGAGGAGTTTCAAGGAAATGACAAGGTACGTGTTGTCAAACTTCAATCTCTAAGAAGAGATTTTGAACTATTGAAGATGAAGGAGTCTGAGACAGTTAAAGATTACTATTCTAAAGTTAAAGAAATAGTTAATCAAATGAGAGCTTTTGGGGAGGATATTCTTGACAAGAAAATTGTTGAGAAAATTCTAATTACTATGCCCCCAAAATTTGACCCAATCGTGACAACAATAGAGGAAACCAAAGATCTGTCTACTCTATCAATGACAGAACTAGTGGGCTCTCTTGAAGCATATGAGCAAAGACTACATAGGCATAAAGAAGATACACTTGAAAATGCCTTTCAGTCAAAGCTCAAATTTAAGTCCCAAAATAAAGAAAATGGAGGAAAGAAAAATTATGGTGAAACTTCCAAAAGAAGAGAAGTTCCTAGAAATTTCCAAAAGAACAATCCAGATAAAAATATTCCATGCAATATATGCAAACGACTAGGCCACGAGGAGAAAAGTTGTTGGTACCGTAATATGCCACAATGCAATCATTGCAAGAAATTCGGGCACATAGAGAAACACTGTCGCAACAAAAATAGGCATCAAGCTAATATCGCAGAGGAGCATGATCAAGAACAATGTATGTTCTATGCCACTCAAGAATCAATCAAAGAAAAAGGAGGAAGTTGGTACTTGGATAGTGGATGTAGCAATCACATGGCCAAGGATGAGACTATTTTCAAAAGCATTGATGAGTCAGTCAAAGTCAAAGTTCGACTAGGAAATGGAAGTGTGGTTGAGTCAAAAGGAAAAGGCACCGTCGTGGTAGAGACATATAAAGGTACGCGACTCATCCATGATGTCTTACTAGTTCCCAACCTAAAAGAAAATCTTCTAAGCATTGGCCAAATGATGGAGAGAGGCTACACACTTCACTTTGAAGGAGGTGTATGCAAAATCTTAGACAACAAGAATAAAAGGGCCGAGATAGCCGAAGTGAAGATGAATAAGAGCAATAGAAGCTTTTCGCTAAATTTAAAATATACAACTAACATTGCCATGAAGGTACAAGTTGATGATTCATGGCTTTGGCATCAAAGATTTGGCCACTTCAACACACATGCCTTGAAGTTGTTACATGATAAGAACATGATGAGAGATCTTCCAAGCATAAAGGATAACAATGAAGTGTGTGAAGGATGTCTCCTTGGTAAGCAACACCGATTTCCATTCTCAACAAGCGGAGCATGGAGAGCAAAAGATCTGTTGGAGCTGATACATACTGACGTCTGTGGACCGATGAGGACGCCATCACACGAGAACAACAGGTACTTTATACTCTTCATTGATGACTTCTCTAGAATGACATGGGTCTATTTCTTGAAATAAAAATCAGAAGTTTTTGGAGTATTCAAAAGGTTCAAGGCCCTTGTTGAAAATCAAAGTGGAAAGCGGATAAAAGTACTAAGAAGTGATCGCGGCAAAGAGTACACATCCCGCGAGTTTGATAGATTTTATGAGGATGAAGGCATAGAGCGACAACTTACAGTCGCATATTCTCCTCAGCAAAATGGTGTGTCTGAGAGAAAGAATCGCACAGTTATGGAGATGGCTAGATCGATGCTCAAAGAGAAGCGACTACCTAACACATTCTAGGCTGAAGCAGTCTACACTGCTGTTTACTTACTCAACAGATGTCCAACTAAATCTGTACAAGATAAGACTCCAATTGAGGCTTGGAACGGGAAGAAGCCATCAGTAAAGCACCTAAGGGTCTTTGGATCTATATGCTACATTCATATTCCAGACGTGAAGAGGCATAAGCTTGAAGACAAGACTATACGAGGTATCTTCTTGGGGTATAGCACAATATCTAAAGGCTACCGTGTATATAACTTGCAAACAAAAAAACTCATCATCAGTCGAGATGTTGAAGTTGATGAGAATGCTTCTTGGAATTGGGATGAAGAAAAAGTGGAGAAGAATGTTCTTATACCCACTCAACTACCTCAAGAAGAAGCTGAGGAAGAAGTCCTAGGTGAACCTTCTTCACCTACACCACAACAACAAGTTCAAGAACTATCATCACCAGAGTCTACTCCAAGACGAGTAAGATCTTTGAGAGACATATATGAAACCTGCAACATGGCCATACTCGAACCTGGAAGCTTTGAAGAAGCATCAAAGCATGAAATATGGGTCAAGGTAATGGAAGAAGAGATAAAGATGATCGAGAAAAATAACACATGGGAGTTAGTAAATTGTCCCCATGGAAAAGATATCATTGGGGTTAAGTGGGTCTATAAGACAAAGCTCAATCCTGATGGCACCATACAGAAACATAAGGCGAGGCTAGTAGCTAAGGGTTACTCACAACAACCTAGGGTTGACTACAATGAGACCTTTGCACCAGTAGCTCGTCTTGATACCATTAGAGCTCTAATAGCTCTTGCGACACAAAAAGGATGGAGTATACATCAACTGGATGTCAAATCTGCCTTCCTCAATGGTGTACTTGAAGAAGAGATCTATGTGGAGCTGCCACAAGGATTCATATCTAAAGGCGAAGAGAGCAAAGTGTTAAGACTAAGAAAAGCACTATACGGTTTGAAGCAAGCTCCTCGAGCATGGTATAGCAGAATCGATCAATATTTCATGGATTAAGGATTTAGGAGAAGCAAGAGTGAGCCCACACTATACATCAAGTCTCAAGGTCAGTACACTCTCTTACTCTCTCTATATGTAGATGACCTTATCTACACGGGAAACAATACTAAGATGATAACGGAGTTCAAAGAAGACATGATGAAGACCTTTGAGATGAACGACCTTGGTTTGATGAGTTACTTCCTCGGTATAGAGGTAAGCCAAAGAAATGAAGGGATATTCATCTCACAAAAGAAATACACAGAAGGCTTACTTAAGAAATTCAAGATGTACGGTTGCAAACCTGTCGCTACCCCACTCATAACAAATG